CAAGGTGCCATCATGGTTGGATTCTGGTGAGAACTCTCTTCTCTCTTCTGGCACCTTCTTGCTGTGTCATATGGCAGGGGGGAGAGAGCAAGAGCAAGCTCTTTGGTATCTCTCTTATATGGAAACTGATCCCATCATGGGGGCCCCCACCCTCATGACCTCATCTAAATCTAAATACCTCCCAAAGACTCCATCCCCCAAAACCATCACATTAGGGCTTAAATATATGAATCTTAGTGGAACATAATCCAGTTATATTTTTGTTTTCATTCATTTCAAAGTACTTTCTAATTTCCCACTTGATTTCTTATTTGGCCTACTGGTTATTTAGGAGTGTGTTAATTTCCACATATTTATGACTTCTCCCAATGTATTACTGATTTGTAATTTCATTCCATTGTGGTCAGAGAACATACTTTGTATAATTTCAGTGTTTTAAAATTTTTTGAGATTTGCTTTGTGGCTGAACATATGGTCTCTCCTGGATACTATTGCATGTGCTCTTGAAAAGAGTATATTATTTGTGGTTTTTCTTAAGATTTTGTTTTTTTAAAAGATTTTATTTATTCACTTGAGAGAGAGAGAGGAAGTACAAGTTGGGGGAGAGGCAGACTCCCTGCCCAACACAGGGCTTTATCCCAGGACCCAGAAATCATGACCTGAGCTGAAGGCAGATGCTTAACCAGCTGAGCCACGAAGGTGCCACTTGAGATTGGATTTTTGAGTAATCTCCACACCCAACGTGGCACACAAACCCAAGATCAAGAGTCACATGCTCTACTGACTGAGCCAGCTGGGTGTCCCAAGAATGTATTGTCTTGTTGTTGAGTGTTTTGTTTTTTTTTTTAAGTAGGCTTCCCGCCCAGTGTGGAGTCCAGCACGGGGCTTGAACTTACCATCCTGAGATCAAGACCTGAGCTGAGATCAAGAGTCAGATGCTTAAGCGAGTGAGCCATGCAGGCGCCCCTGTTGAGTGTTTTATAGATGTCTGTCAGGCCTAGCTGGTTTATAGTGTTGTTCAAGTCTTGTTTCCTTGCTGATCATCTACTCTGTTATTGCAAATAAGGTATTGAAGTCTCCAACTATTGTTGAACTGTTTATTTCTCCCTTTAGTTCAGTTTTTGCTTTATATATATTGGGATTCTATTGTTAGGAGCATGTATGTTTATAATAGCTGTATTGATATATCAAGATGTTATCTCTTTTATCATTATATAATGTCCTTCTTTGTGTCTAGTAACAAATATTGTCTTAAAGTCTATTTTTTCTTGTTATGCTTATGGTATACAAGATTCCAGCAATATATTGAGGTTTTATAAGCTCCTGTGGACATCTCATTCCTTAGCTTTTCCTTTTAAGATTTTTGGTCTCTTATTTACTCCAAATATTATCCACCACCTTAGGCAGCCATGAACTTAAAACACCTTCCTGTAATTATTTTTGACAAATGCCCCCTGGGAAAAGGAATTTTGCACTTGAGGTTCCAGTCAGGTCAAATATAGACAGCCTTGCAAATGGGGTCTTGCAGGGAACTATTATTCCCTCCCTATTATCAGATAGGTCAGATGATAACAATTCTTTGGGAATGAGGTTTTGAAAGAGTTCCAGCTCCCTGTGCTCTCTCTCGTGGTTGTGAGGCTGCATGGGAAATGTGGATTGTTTTCATAGCTTTTAGCTTCAACTTGTAGCTGGAAAGTAAGGGATGGGACCAGGGCAAGTTAAAATGCCCAAAATTTGCTGTTCCTATTGAAATTCACCATTTTTCTTAAATGCTGAGTTGCTGCAAGCTTTTAACTAGTTTCCAGAATTCTGAAAAAGTTGATTCTGACAGTTTTGGCCAGTTTTTTCATTGCCTTTGAAGGAGAGAATTTTTCAAGGTCCTTACTTCGTTATTCTCACTAATGTAATCCATTGCATCCCTTTTGGTAAAGGTAGGTGTTGAGGCAACAGCAGACTTTCCAAATCAGCAGTGTCAAGCCTGTCCAAGAGTTTACTGAGTCAGGAGGAGGTAACACTTCTAAGTGGAGAAACAAGCAAAGACCTTAAGCAGTTCTACCTCTCAAAGGAAGAGGAGGAGGAGGGAACCATGATTTGAGTTTCTGCATACTAGGTGCATGTAGTATTTTGTTTAAGCCTCACTACAACTTTTATAAGATATGGAAGTATTACCTTCATTTTACAAATGAGGTAACTAAAGTGAAGGGGATGAAATGCTGCAGACCACAAAGCTACTAAGTGGCATACCTAGGATTCAGACCAGAAAAGGCCATTCCCTACTTTATTTCTCATTTTTAGGTTTTCATTGTGTGACTGCTGCATTTAATTGTGCTTTCTCATTTAATCAGCACTCGGCTCTTAAAGGGCGGTTTTATTACGCCTATTTTACAGAAGAGGAAACTGAGGCTGAGGGGTTAGGCTTCTTGCCTGGGTTATAGTGTAGGACAGAGTCAGTTCTGCTGGGCTCCTTTACCCATACCGTTAGACAGTGTGCAGTGCTGCTTCCAACCCAGGATTACCACATATCCTCTCCTGTTCACTGGCTTCTGGGGACCAACCATGCATGCTGTTTCCTAGATAAGGAGCCCTTTGTCAGGTCTGAAGTCTTAGAGAGACCAAAGTCAAAAGTAATCCTGTTGGCTATCCATGTCTTTGTGTATAGTAGAAAGAGCCCTAGATTAGGAATTCTGGCTTGGCCACTGAATTTGGCTCTGAAAATTTGTATCTCAGTTTTCTCATCTGTAATTTTTGAAAAATGGGATATGTGTGGAGGAAAATAACTGCATTTTACTTTTGTAATTTCTTTTTAATTTGTGAGTGTATTACAGTGATTTGTGTGTATAATTTGGGTATCTATGTTCAGTTGTTCACTGACGGGATTCTTAACCATAGATCAGAGGTCTCTGAAGTGAGGGGTTTAACTACAATGTGTTCCAGTGCCAATATTCTGTCATGATTCACCAAAAAATGCCTCTTACAATTTGGTTGAAAACTTGGTGATGTTAACTCTTTGGTTACTGTTAACCTTGATATCTTTGGTTATCTTACCCTTTTTCAAGTCTTTTCCCTAGTTGTAATCTCTTCAGCCAGAGACACTCTCTACTTCTGTGCAGTGCTGTGGTGCTTGCAATTTCCAGAAGTGTATGCTGTATGTCGCTGGTTTCAGAAAGTAGCCTGCGGAACCCACAGGGTAGTTGTTGCCATTTTCCAGCCTAGCAGGCAGGATCAGGGGCCCCATCTTGCTTTCCTTGCGTTGTACCGCACTTGGAGCGAACTGTATAGCCTTGATTATCTTTGTGATCATGGAAGCCTGGGGCCAGACCATTCTTGGGTCTTCTTTATGCCAAAATACCAATCACCATGTCCAGCAACCTCTAGACCTCAGAGAATTCTCTGGGTAATAAAGATGTGTAACTCTTCTAAAAAGAAACTAAGAAAACCCGAGCAACACTAATCACTGCTCACTTCCTTAGGATAAACCCTCTGAGATCCGTTCCTCCATCTGAGGAGGCTCCACCCTTCCTTTGCCCACTCTCCCTGCCCAGGGTTTCAGACTCCTCATGGGGAGGTTTACATGGTACTCTTACTTGCCTTGCTTGTGACCTCTTTTCCTCATCCTTTAATGAATACTGTTCTCCTCACCATCTTTGAAAGTGTTTTGACACACCACCAGTTGTAAGATACATCCTGATTACAGATATTAAAATGGAGAAAATGTCTTAGAATCTCTGAAAAATGGTAGATAGCTTCCTTCCTTGCCTAACGCTGAAATGGGAGAGCAAACACTGCAGAGACTAGTAATGACAAAGTATAGCTGAGAGCCTTACAGAGTGAGCAAATATAGAAGCCAAAGGTAACTCCAAGATGTAGCAGCTGGTGGGGATTATACAATATCTTCTAAAATAGATCCTCTTACCAGAATGTTGCTGGAATTAGTGCTTACCGTCATTGAAGAAGTTGAAAGGGCTAATTGCCTATTGCTGAAAGAAACTGGAGGAATGAATGTTTAAATTCCTTTAATTCAAGTAGATGAGTGCCTACTACATGGGCAAGGAGTCGTGGTACCCTAAAATTAGTGTGTTTTTAAAGTTTGTAGTTTTTAAGAAAAACTTAATTTTTCACGAAAATGTGACTGAGTAGTTAACTCTATCATTAAATAATAAACCTACTCAATTTAGTGGTAGTTCTAGCAACATCAGTTCTTGCAGAAAAATGAAACAGTCACCCAATTCCCACATGAAAACAGTTTCAAAAGCAGTTGGAAAATTCTTACAGGTTATTCCTGACTTCTTATCTAACAAGTATTTTTCTCAGACAAGTGGATCTTCATTTACCCAGATGATACATAGATGTTTCCATAAGTTTAAGAAGTATATTATTCCCTGTGAAAAAAGAAGCATATTATATAATATAGCTTTTCTGGTCTTGGCCAAAGAACCCAATTCTGTATATTACTTGTCTCTGGCTTGACCATTTTCAAACAATAAGTATAGATCTGATCATTGTTTATTGAGAAGAGTAAATTGTTCCATAGAAGTAAAATATGGATCTAAGTGAAGGAAGTCAGCTTCTAGAGCATTTGCAGTTTCCCAGGAATTTTCTGACTGTACCAGTGCATATAGTTTGATACTTACTTTCTTTTAAAGATTTTATTTATTTGAGAGAGAGAGAATGAGAGAGCATGAGAGGGGAGAGGGTCAGAGGGAGAAGCCGACTCCCCACTGAGCAGGGAGCCCAACGCAGGACTCGATCCCGGGACTCCAGGATCATGACCTAAGCCAAAGGCCAGTGCTTAACCAACTGAGCCACCTAGGCGCCCCTAGTTTGATACTTAAAAACATTGATTTCACTTACTTTCCTTAACTTGCCCTCCCTCACCCCCCTCCCCAGTGTATAATACTCGTAAATAATTGTGGTAGAAAATCTTATTCAGGTGGACTTTCAATCAGACTTTCTTTGTTCCTGTTTTTAACCTCCCTAAATTATATATCTTTATTTTGTAGGTATCATAGCGGCAAATGTTTTTGTATTCTGTTTATGGAGAGTACCTTCTCTACAGCGGACAATGATCAGATATTTCACATCTAACCCAGCCTCAAGTAAGTCTACTTATGACTTTATTTTGATGTAGAGGTAATATGAAAGAAATATGCTTTGTTATTGAAATGCTATAAAAAGGATGAGTTACTTGTCAACAATTATAAGCAAAATCCAGAAGATAGACTGTAAGCTCCTTGAGGAAAGGGACCTCATCTCTCTTAGTCTTATGTCCCAGGTACTTAAAATGTGCCTTGCACATAGTAGATATGTTGACCCAAGATCCATGATCACTACAAGTTTACTCTTGGAGGATACTGTTATATACAACTTCATATCTGTAATTGAAATAATTTACTAATTCTTTTTTCTAAGTAACTTTTGCCGTAAGGACAAGTTGCTTTCATTGAACTGAGAATTTTTATTGGTGCTTACTAAGTAGAAGAAATTTAAGAGAATTTTTCACCACCTTGAAAAATACTATGATAAACCATCTTATTTAAACTTTTTAATTTGCTCTTTTTGTTTCCTATTTTTAGTTTTTTGTAATAGTAATGAAAAAAATCTAAAAAATCTAAAACAGATCATTTTTAGATCATGGCTGTGTGTCCTGTGATTACCAGACTGTTTTTCTTTCTCTTGTAGAGGTCCTTTGTTCTCCAATGTTGCTGTCAACATTCAGTCATTTCTCCTTGTTTCACATGGCTGCAAATATGTATGTTTTGTGGAGCTTCTCCTCCAGCATAGTGAACATTCTGGGCCAGGAGCAGTTCATGGCAGTTTACTTATCTGCAGGTAATAAGCTTTAATCTGGGGATCTTTCAGAGTATAAACACTTCCACCTATCTGGAGAAGGAAGGAAGGGAATGATTATAGCCATATTCTACACATGAAGATTGTAATAGAGAATTGTACAAACTGTCTATAGAGAAGGATACCACAGACCGATGGGGTTATCTTTTCTGCTTCTCATTTTGCTGGTTTCTTCTTAGATTATTTAGTATGTTTAGTTTTAACTCAGGATAGACAGGAGTTTAGTGTAGAATTTAAGAATGTAATTTTTATCTCGTTAGGCTTTGGTTTCTTTAGCTCAGGTCCACCATTTTATAAATAGGTGCTTCCCAGACTTCCTGGCTGTCTCAATCATCTGGATCTTTGTTAAATAACCTTAAGCTCATTTACCACAGTGTGTTCAGTTTCCAGAAAGCTTTAGATCAGAACTTTGTAATATTGTCAAGAATGAGTTTATATTCTATCTTTGCTGCAAGCATATATCTTAGTCTGGAATCACTCCAGTCGGTCCTGGAGATAACATCATTTCCTTATTTCAAGTAGGAAATGGTAGTAGTGGATTCCAGGTTCCTAGATGCTACTAAACTGGCAAGTGGTCAGTTAAATTTTACCTCTCTGTTTGCAGAATGTACTTAATTAAAAACCACACAGCATAAAAATTCATTTCTGAAATCCCTTTTTTTAAAATTTTTT